GTCTCTCTGTCTCCCTGTCTGTCTGGAAAGTGCATGCGCCCTATGGCAAAAACCTCTCAAAAAAAAAAAAAAAGCGGCACAAGATGCCTTAGAAAGCACCCTCCACCCCACCCTGTTCACTGTCCTGATAACTGGAGATTCACTGGTGTGACGTCAGAACTCCAGAGAGGAGCTTGTTTTCGTTTGTGTGTGTTTGGGTTAGGTTTGACAGTGAGTGACAGAAACGCTCAAATCACAGTTGAAGCCAGAGAATTTCTTTCTCTCGTTTAAGACAGTCCAGGACTTGTGCGTCTGCCACCATCCCTTAACCATGGAGCTGCAGAGCCAGCCTAGGGACCGGGTTCTTCTGCCAGCCTCGTGTGGCTTCTGCCTCACGGTCCGAGATGGCTGCCTGAGTTCCAGCTCTCAAATCTTCCATCTTGTTCTGCCGAAGGATGGAGGATGAGGAGGGACTTGATGGTTTCTATAACGACACCTCCCAGAAATTGTGTACGCAACTTCTGCTTGCATGTCATTGGCCAGAATTAAGTCACGTGGCCACACCTGGTTGCAAAGGAGGCTGGGACATACAGTGTTTCCTTTCATTGGCTCATGAGCAGCTAAAAATCAGAGTTTTTATTACAAAGGAAGGATGAAGAGAAGGGTCTTAGGGAACACTTAGCAATTTCTGTTACATTTGTCTTCATGTAAAGATAGCAAATAATCTCCATTCTTCAGATGAACTGTGTGCTCACTGAAGAGACACACAGAGATAGAGAGATAGAGAGAGAGACACACAGAGAGAGAGGTGAGAAAGCACCTTCCGGGGCGGGATGGCCATGCTGCAATCCCTTCTTCTCCATTCTCCCCTTGGGATTTTGGGCACGCACGCGTACGCATCCACTGGATCCAGCTACCTGAACCACCACGCCACCAGCTGGCCCCACTGGTACTTTTCATAAACCTTTTATTAAGGAAAATTTCAAAACTAGCCAGAGTAGAGAGGATAGTATAATATAACGAGCCTTCACCTACACACGACCCAGCGCATCAGGTGTCAGCTCACGGTCGGCATGGGGCATCTTTACCCTTCCCCACTCTCCTCCACTCCGGGGCCACCTTGCAGCATCTTAGTGATGCAGTTGTAGCAGTAACATTTCAGTACCGATCTCTGAAGGGCGAGGACTCCCACTTTTTTTTTTTTTTTGAGAAGTTTTTGCTGTAGGGGGCCTGCACTTGCCAGACAGACAGAGTGAGAGACAGAGAGACAGAAAGCGAGAAATCACCCCCCATGGGGGATGGTCACGCCGCAATCCCTTCTCCTCCATTTTCCTCTTGGGATCTTGGGCACGCACGCACACGCGCCCGGCGTGAGTTTAAGCCACTGGGATCTGAATCTTGAACTGTGGTCGACTACATGGGAGTCTAGAGACATAGCCATTAGGCCAACTGCTGTTCCAAGGACTACCACTTTTAAACATAAACCTAACACCATCATTGCACCCTGAAAAATCAACAGAAATTCCCCGGTATCAACAACTCTCCAGCTCTGAGCTCTCCAGGGCACAGGAAGCGTTTTAAAGCTCCCCAGGAGGCTGGGATGGGCAGCGTGGGGACAACGTCACTGCCTCACTCCGTACATCAGCCTTCGTTTCTGAAGCAAGGGAAGGGGGTTTTGACGTAGAGAAAACCCAGGCTGAGTCAGTGACCCCGTCATGCTCTCCCGTTGCTTCCTCCCTGTGCAGTGCCACCTGTGTGACAAGACGTTCATGAACGCCACCTTCCTCCGGGGCCACATCCAGCGCAGGCACGCAGGCACGGCAGAAGCTGGTGAGTCCAGGCAGCAGCCGGGGGGCCCTGGGGCTATGGGGATCCTGGGGCTGGCAGTCAGTGGCTGGGAGCACGTGCAGTGCTGACCTGCCCTCAGCACCTCGCCATCCAGCTTCTGACCGCGTGGATACCGGTTTCCGAGCCTGTGTAGGGGCTGGGTGGGCCAGCTCTGAGACGCAGTGGCAATGCACTGCCCAGAGAAGCTGGGTCGCAGGTGGTGATGCGTCCGACTCCCCGGCCTGGGCAGCCTGACAGCGGGACACGAGTACTCCGGGTTCCGTATGCTGGAGGGTTAGAAGGAGGGGAGGTGGCATGACCAGACTCTCTGGGGTGTGCTTCTCTGTCTCTCAAGCTTTATCTCTGGTCATGCCACAATCCCTTTTCCTCCATTCTCTTCTCGGGATCTTGGGCACACATGCACACGCGCCCAGCGTGAGTTTTAAGCCACTGGGTCCGGACTTGAACTGGGGTCGAATACATGGGAGTCCAGCGACACAGCCATTACGCCAACTGCTGGTCCCGAGTTCTTGGACTTTTCTATGTTCCCGGGCTTATAGTAATAGATTTAATCACTTTAATTTTAGCATTTCAAAGACCAAAATGGGTAGCAAAGCTGTATGTATTCCCCATAAGGAGATCTGCATACTTTATATCCACTTTTCGAAGTTCAGCAGTGCTTGTTGAAACATAAAATATAAGCATCTCATTAAAGAAAAATTCTGTGGGAACCAGCAGTTAGCGTAATGGCTATGTTGCTGGACTCCCACGTAGTCGACCGTGGTTTGCATCCCGGACCCGGTGGCTTAGAACTCATGCCGGGTGCGTGTGCGTGCGTGCCCAAGATCCCAAGAGGAGAATGGAGGAGAAGGGATTGCGGCGTGACCATCCCCCCTGGGGGGTGATTTCTCGCTTTCTGTCTCTCTGTCTCTCTCTGTCTGTCTGGTGAGCGCATGCGCCCTATAGCGAAACTCTCTCCAAAAAAAAAATTTTGTTCCCTTTTTTCATTGTTTTAATTCCTTTTGTTGTTGTAGTAGGGCTTGTGGGCTTACCTGAGAGAGACAGAGAGAGACAGGGAAAGTAAGAAATCACCCCCCAGGAGAGATGGCCACACACCACAAAATACCTGCTCCTCCTGGAGTTTTAGGCACACAAACAAACGTTCTTGGTGTGATTTTTCAGGCTTCCGGGTCTAGGACTCGAATCAGGTCGGCCCCATGGGAGTCCAGTACCTTAACCACTATGCCGTCTGCTGGATCCTAAAAACCTGACTTTTAATGGCTGAACAGTATTTCATTAAGATACCATAATTTAGGGAACCAGCAGTTAGTGTAATGGCTATGTCGCTGGACTCCCACGTAGTCAACCGTGGTTTGCGTCCCGGACCCGGTGGCTTAAAACTCACACCGGGTGCGTGTGCGTGTGTGCCCAAGATCCCGAGAGGAGAATGGAGGAGAAGGGATTGCGGCGTGACTATCCCCCCTGGGGGGTGATTTCTCGCTTTCTGTCTCTATGTCTCTCTGTCTGTCTGGCAAGCGCACGTGCCCTATAGCGAAAAAACCTCTCCAAAAAAAAAAAAAAAGATACCATAATTTATATCACAATTTCCTCCTTTCAAATATATGGCTTGCTTGAAAACCCAATATAATCAGTTACATGAAGATCAATGATTATATATATACATTTTTTGCATATCTTTTATTATTTTTCTTAATGGAAATTAGTATAAGGAGAGGGAAAATGCATTTTTTTTGGGGGGGTTTGCTATAGGGTGCATTCGCTCACCAAAAAGACAGAGAGAGACAGAGACAGAAAGCGAGAAATAGAAATCCCCCCTCAGGGGGGATGGCCACACCACAATCCCTTCTCCTCCATTTTCCTCTCGGAATCTTGGGCATGCACGCAAATGCACCCGGTGTGAGTTTAAGCCACCGGGTCCAGGTTCCAACTGTGGTTGGCTATATGGGAATCCAGCACCTTAACCACCATACTACTTGCCGGCCCCCGACTGTGTGAGTTAAATTGGTCATCCTCTCTTTCCATGGACCACAGGAAAACAGAAGACGCAGGAACAGCCAGTGGAGGAGGTGTTGGAAGAGCTGCGGGCCAAGCTAAAGTGGACCCAGGGGGAGCTGGAAGCCCAGAGGGAGGCCGAGAGACAGTGGCAGCTCCAGGTGGGCTTGGAGAGGAAAGGTCGGGGAGACTGGGTCGCAGGCCACTCCAGAGACCCAAGATGCACACGGAGCCGCCAGGCCAACATTCTGGTTGGTTTCCCATGGCTGGGAGTCACAGCTAGGATGCACCTTCTAGGATGTAGCAAATGCTTTCATGGTAAGGAAAATCGAATGAGTTTTGCCAGACCTGTGTGGCCAAAAGTGGAGCAGAGGATTTTGAACTGAATTTTAACTCCTTAGACTACACCGTTAGCTTTGGGACGTAAAGATTGTGTCTGACTCGGAAAGCTCCAGAATTCAGCCCAGAGGAAGTGCTCCGTAAATATTTGCAGAGTCAAAATACAGACACTCGCCCCACTCATCCCTTCATTTATTCGTTTATCGTAGCCTCACTGGGGCGTTTAATGAGCACCAACTAAGCCAGCAATGTGAGGAAGATAAAGACAAGCCTCTGTCTTTAAGGGACTTTACAGTTCCCATAAGACTGGCTTAGACGCACCCTTCCGAGTCCAAGTGACGGGACTGTGGACACGTGTTCTTGGGGTCTCCACACTGACTGGGGACAGGGCCTGGGCAGACACTCGGCAGCTCTTCACTGTAATGTGGCATTAATGACTGTATCCCTCTTTTCTCTATAGGAAGCCAAGATTGCTCAACAGAGAGAAATAGAAGCTAAGAAGGAATTTGATGAGTGGAAAGAACAAGAGCGGATGAAGCTCTATGGGGAAATCGATAAGCTAAAAAAATTATTCTGGGATGAATTTAGAAGTGTTGCTAACCAGAACTGTACACTAGAAGAGGTACCTGACAGACGAATCTTTTCAAAGTTCTTTTGTTGAAAATCTTACTTGTTCTCAAAATTTATTTCTTAGCTTGTACTAGTTTTTTTTTTTTTTTTTAGGGGTTTTTGCTATAAGGGTGCGTGTGCTCACTAGAGAGACAGAGAGACAGAGAGACAGAAAGAGAGAAATCATCCCCCAGCAGGGATGGCCACACCGCAATCCCTTCTCCTCCAGTCTCCTCTGGGGATCTTGGGCACGCATGCACATGCACCTGGCATGAGTTTAAGCCACTGGATCAGGGACTCGAACCATGGTCGACTACATGGGAGTCCAGCAACATAGCCATTATGCTAACTGCTGGTCCCCATCCTAGTACCCACCGTTGGTTTCTTTTTTTTTTTTTTTTTTTGTGAGAGAGGTTTTTGCTATACAGTGCATGTGCTTGCCAGAAAGACAGAGAGAGAGACAGAAAGTGAGAAATCCACCCGCCCCCGCCCAGAAGGGGATTGCCACACCACAATCCTTTCTCCTCTGTTCTCCTCTTGGGATCTTGGGCACGCACACACACACGCACCTGGCGTGAGTTTAAGCCACTGGGTCCAGGACTCGAGCTGTGGTTGACTACATGGGAGTCCAGTGACATAGCCATTATGCCAACTGCCGGTCCCTGTACTAGTTTTATCTCAACTGTCACTGGGAACTAATGCACAGGGAGGCCACATATCTGAGGCCAGTGCCTGGAGTTGAATCACCGCTCTTTCACATACTCAAGCTCTGTGACCTTGAGCGAGTTACTTAACCTCTCTGTGCCTTATTTTCTCTGTAAGATAGGCTGCTGGAAGGGTTAAATTAGCACATACACAGTACCTATTACTGGCATGTAGTAACATGTCAGTAATTTATCTGGCACAGTAATATTCCTAGATATTATCCTTATTTTTGCAAAGGATTTTCACCCCTGAATAAAAAAATGAGCCCAAATTTAAATGAATGCTTTTCTCCCAACAAGTCTTCTCTGATTGCTGGCTACATGCTAGCCACTCTGCTGAGGTGGGGAGGATGGGGGCGTCTGTAAAGGAAACACACACTAGGAAGTCTGTTTACTAACTGGATCTAACATTTTCTAGCCCTGTGCGGAACACTTTATATACATAACTTCCAATCCTTACAGCAGAGCCATAACATTTTCAAAGTAAGTACACCATTAGCTTATTATTTCTTTTTTAAAGTTATTTTTTTTTAAAAAAAAAACCTATTATTGGGTCAGCAGGAAGTGTGGAAGTTGGGGTGCTGGACATGGCTGATGCTGCAGTTTGAATCCTGGACCCGGCAGCTTGAAAATCATGTTGGGTGTGCACGCAAATGTGTGTGTGTGCACACCCAAAATTCTAAGAGGAGAATGATTGTGATGTGGCCGTACCCCCTGGGAGGTGATTTCTCACTCCCTCTCCCCCCCCCCGCCTCTCTCTGGCAAGTGTGCATGCCCTGTAGCCAAAAAAAAAAAAAAATCTGTTATTATTGTTTCTTTACAGATGAAGAAATTGAGGCCACATACTTTGCCCAAGGTCACTCAGCTAGTGAGGGGTGGAGCTGGATTTGAACCTACTTCTTTTTTTTCTTTATTAATGAAAGAGTGGATATGTGCTTATGTGAGTGGGAGTGAGAGGAGCGCCCTCTGCAGGGTCTAGCCGTGCTGCGGCCCCTTTCGTCCAGTCCCCCACTTGGTTGGATCTTAGACACCTGCATCTGTGCTTGGCATGTTTCTGATTGTCATGTGGGATCTGGCTTCTCTCTTTTATTTTATTTTATTTATTTATTTTTGCCATAGGGTGCACGTGCTCTCTGGAGAGAGACAGAGAGAGGGAAAGTGAGAAATCACCCCTCAGAGGGATGGCCATGCCACAATCCCTTCTGTTTTATTCTCCTCTCAGGATTCCGGGCACTCACACACACATGCCCTGCGCGATCCTCAAGCCATCGGATCCTAGGACTTGAACTGTGGTTAGCCCTGTGGGAATTTGCGGCCTTACCCGCCATGCCACCTGCTGGCCCCCTGGCGTCTCTTGAGTACTGCTATGGATCCAGTCCTGAACCCAGCTCTTTACACTCCAAAATTCTCCGTTCTTATACTGTACATATTACAGTGACACATTTATGCAGAGAAAGCATATTAAAGTTATTCCTGGACCATATCTTTCTGTATAAGCCTCTGTGACTATCAAGGAAAATGTTTTGAGGAAAAATATTTTGAAAATGTCTTTATCTTTCACGAGTCCCCTTAAATCAAGGAGAATTTTGTGTTTGAAAACGAACTAATAGGGTTTCTCACATTCGTTCCACATTTTGCCTAAAGAAAATCTAGGACCTCCTTAAAAAGGGGATTGTCGTTGGATGAGTGATCCACCATCTCGGTCTGAGAGGGGAACCGAGGCTGGAAGTGGCGGGTCGAACTCAGAGCTCTCTGTGGGGCGGTGGGTAGAGTGGCTTTCAGAAATGACCCAACCCGGGACCAGCAGTTAGCGTAATGGCTATGTCGCGGGACTCCCACGTAGTCGACTGCGGTTTGAGCCCCGGATCCGGTGGCTTAAACTCATGCTGGGCGCTTGTGCATGCGTGCTCAAGATCCCAAGAGGAGAATGGAGGGGAAGGGATTGCGGCATGGCCATCCCCGCTGGGGATGACTTCTCGCTTTCTGTCTCTCTGTCGCTCTGTGTCTCTGGTGAGCACATGCACCCTGTAGCAAAAACCTGTCAAACAAAAACAAAAAGTGACCCGACCCTTTCATCCCGAGTGCTCCCCTGCTGGGTCAGAGATGATCTGTGGAAGACAAAACCCTTTCCCACCATGTAGACGCATCCTCCTCCATCCAGCTCCATGCCCGTCATTCCCAAGCTCATCCAAAAACCTGGCTCCCACCCTGCCCTGTACACAGCGCTCGCTGAGCAGACACTTGATAAACAGGTGCTGATTTGAACATGAAGTTGTTCAGAAATCATGCGATCAAGGGTCGCAGGGTTACTTTTGATTAAAAACGTCTGAGTTTTGGCCAATGAGGACATAATTCTTGCGACCCGCAGTTTCGTTTTTAACTTGGGTCACATCTTTCCACTAGGACAGCTTCTTGTTTTGTCTTTTCCTTGTAGGATTACTTATGTTTCTGTGTCTCACCCGGCTCCTCTCAATGTTTCGTTGTTTTACTTTTACTAAAGTATATGAAGCACCGAGGTATAACATCCCCAGCGCAGGCCCTGCTGCAGTGGTGTGGCGACGCCCACTCTGCACAGCCGGAAGCGGTCCGGAAGATGGAAGCTTGGTTCCACGTCCACCTGTGGCCCCTGGGGGCGTGCACCTGCTTGCGGTCTTGGCTGGCTGGGAGAGGCTGGGGGAGAGACATGGCAGAGTGAGACCTACTGAGGGTGCTTGTCTCTCTCTTTTTTTTTCTCTCTGTCTCTTTCATGACATAAATATGCTCTAAAAAAGTTCTCAGTATAGTTGGATAACTATTTTGTTAGTTTTCTCTTCAATTCTTGGGGAGGGAGACAGGTCAGCTTGCGGTTAGATTGACTGTAAGAAGCACTGTAAGCAGTCCATTTCAAAATTGCAATAAAAAATTCGCCTTGATGTGAGGAGGGCCAATGAGTGCTACATTTTGAAAATAATTCTCCTCAAAACTTTCCCCCCAACACAGAAGCCCACAGAGTGACTTGGCTCGGTTACCTGATGAAGAGAGAGCTGTAGCTTAGTTAGGGTGAATCACGCTGCCAAGGACGTCTCTGACGGAAAGGGAAACACCATAGAGGTTTGTCAAGTCAAGAGAGCCAGCTTCGTGGTGTGGTAGAAGCAGCATTATGGGGGCCAGAGTGGGGTCTGAGAGGCCTGGCATTGTTCAAACACCCAGTGAGCCAGCTTCATGGTGTGGTAGAAGCAGCATTATGGGGGCCAGAGTAGGGCATGAGAGGCCTGGCATTGTTCAAACACCCAGCGAAGTGTATCCAGGGAATTTAGACATGGTTAACACTGGGCCCAATACTGCTTCAGCAGTAATTGAGAAGGGTTATTGAGGATGACACCCAGTCAAACTTGGGATCTTACAGTTTCTTAAGGCTTTATTTTTATTTTTATTTTTATTTTTTTTGAGGAGGTTTTTGCTATAGGGCGTGTGTGCTCACCAGAAAGCAGAGAGAGACAGACAGTGAGAAATCATCCCCCAGGGAAGATGGCCACGCCACAATCCCTTCTCCTCCCAGGATCTCAGACATGCATGCACATGTGCCCGGTGTGAGTTTAAGCCACTGGATTCAGGACTCGAACCGCGGTCGACTACATGGTAGTCCAGCGACATAGCCATTACACCATCTGCTGGGGCCGGGCTAGAGTTTTATGTAGTCACTGAGATGCAGACAGGTCGTGTTGCTACTGCAATAGTGATACATTTTTAAAATCACCGTATATAGGTAGAAAGGCACCCTTTCCTCGGTCCAGTTTTCCATGTCTTTCCCTCAGGTCACACGGCTAGCTCAGGAACCACCATGTGCTGGGCTCTGAGCTGTGCAAAGCCAGCCCTCCCTTGTGACAGCAAGGGTTTTGGGGGGGCTCGGGGTGTGAGTCCTTGGGGCATGGCCTGGGGTGCCGAAGACCTTGCCATGGACCTAGGAGTCTGAGTCTCACCAGTTTACTGCAGATGGAAGGAGAAATGGGCAGTTTGGGGATACCTGGAGGTTAAGGGAGCTGGTTCCCACATGGCCGACCATGGTTCTAAATCTGGCCCTGGGTGGCTTGAAAAGCACACTGAGTATGTACACTCAAAATCCTGGTAGGGGACCAGCAGTTAGCATAATGGCTATGTCGCTGAACTCCCATGCAGCCGACTGTGGTTCGAGTCCTGGACCCGGTGGCTTAAACTCATGCCGGGCACGTGTGTGTGTGCATGCCCAAGATCCTGAAAGGAGAATGGAGGAGAAGGGATTGTGGTGTGGCCATCCTCCCTGGGGGTTGATTTCTCACTTTCTATCTCTCTGTCTTTCTCTGACTCTCTGGCGAGCGCACGCACCCAGTAGCAAAATCCTCTCCAAAAAAAAAAAAAAAAAAAAAAAAAAAAAAATCCTGGCAGGATGGAGAAATGGAGCAGGAGTCATGGCATGCCCACACCTTGTTGAAAGGGTGCTTTCTCTTTCCTTGTCTCGCTGTCTCTTTCCTGTTAGTGTACGAGCCCTCTGGCAATTAAAAAAAAGAAAAGAAAAGAAAAAAATTAAAAGACACGGGCAGTTGTCAGGAGGGCGGAGGGTATGAGTACGACAAAGTTTAAGTGAAATTGAAATGACACTCTTCAATTCTGATCGTCCATGAGTGCTTGCTTCTGTGCAAGGAGGAGCCGGCAGGAGAACCCCGGTGAGCGGAATGCCGGCTTGTGTAAACATTTGCTGCCGTGTAGGTGTCTAGTAAAGATGAGTCGGAGGTTCAGGTCGGGGTCAGGTGTGCTCTTTGACACCCTTCAAGGTGTGAAAGACAACATCGTGATTAGATTTTCGTCTCAATAATACTACATCCTGGCCTTCTCAGAAATTGCAGGCGCTGCAGTCCCACAGCGTGGTGGAATCCAACCTTGGGTCACTGAGGGATGAGGAGTCTGAGGAGCGACTCAGGCAGGCACAGGAGCTCCAGGCCCTGCGCGAGAAGATGGAGGTGCAGGTGAGCCGATGATGTGCCATGCTTTTCTGCCCGGAGAAGCCCAGAACCATGCTGTCATCCGACATGTTCCCTCATCCTGGCTCTATAGGTTTAGGGAAGTTGAAAGACATCAAAGCTCAACATTTTCAGACCTTCCACCAATCTAGGAAAGCATAGAATAGGATTCTGTGCAAGGGCTGGAATAGGCGTACGGTATCAACTTTTCCTGGGATGAAAAAGGAAATACAGCGATGTCTCTTGACACCTTTGCCCATATTTTGATTCTAACCTAGTTGAATACAACTCTTAGGACACGTGACAGTTTTCCTGAATTTGAAAATATTTGGGATAGATCCTGCGGTGTCATCTCTCTCTCTGGAACCATAAAAAGCTTTTCATTTGTAGCTGTTGCCAATTCCCACAGTGTAAATATTCCCAGCAGGGCCCAGTTCATGGTATCAATGAGAGGTCAATGAATGGAGTTGGCAGTCTTCTGTCACTGGTCTGCAGCGGGGAGCTCTGGCCACCAGGGAGGAATCTTATTAGAGTCTAGTTATAAGATGGTCTATGGCACTGATAAATCCATGACAAGGAAGGGCAAATTGGCAACATGGCACATTAAATCGTGCTGTGTCTTGAGAAAGAACCAAAAGCTCAACTGACAGCAATGAAGTTTTTCACAGTCTAATGTTTCACATGATTAAAAAAGTTAATCTTGGGTCGAGAAGGTGGTGTAGTGGTTAAAGCATAGGACTCTCATGCTGTCAACTGCAGCTCAAGTCCCGGACATGGCAGCTTGAAACTCATACCAGGTGTGTGTGTGTGTGTGTGTGTGTGTGTGTGTGTGTGCCCAAAATACCAAGAGGAGAATGGAGGAGAAGGGATTGCGGTGTGGCCATCTTCCCTAGGAGGTGATTTCTCACTTTTAGTCTCTCTGCCTCTCTGGTGAGCACATGTACCCTATAGCAGAAAACTTTCTCTTAAAAAAAAAAATCAATCTTTTTCTATAAACGCTATTCAAATTTTTCCATATTTTCTATTATTTATGTTTTCCTTACTCATTCGTGAGTTTGTGTAATGTATAGAAATTAACTCAACCCTTAGGGCCAGCAGATGGCATAATGGTTACTTCTCTGAATTCCCATGTAGTCGACCACAGTTCAAGTCCCAGACCTGGTGGCTTAAAACTCATGCCAGGTGCATGTGCGTGCGGGCCCAAAAGCCCAACAGGAGACTGGATGAGAGGGGATTGCAGCATGGCCATCCCCCCAGGGAAGGGTGATTTCTCACATTCTGTCTCTGTCTCTCTCTGTCTTTTGGGCAAGTGCATGCACCCTATAAAATCTTTCTTAAAAAAAGAAAAGAAAAGAAAAGAAATGAACCCAACCCTGCCGTTCCAGCTGTTGCTAATTCCCCCAGTTTTCTCTCAGTCCTTTCATTTTGTTTACCACACCAAACAAAAACGAATACTGTATCTGTGGCCAAAGTAATAAAATTATCTATCTTTTTGTTATGACCCTACTCTAAGATTTAAAAAGAAATATTCCTGGGTCAGCAGGTGGCACGGTGGTTAAGGTGCTGGATTCTCACCTGGCTGACTTCGTGGTTTGAGTCTCGGATGGGATGGCTTGAAAATTTCGCCAGGCACATTTGCGCGTGTGCCTAAAATCCCAAGAGGAGAATGGAGGAGAAGGGACTGTGAGGCCATCCCCCCTGGTGAGCGATTTCTCACTTTCCCTCTCTGTCTCTCTCTAGTGAGTGCATGTACGCACGGCAAATATATATATATATATATATGTATATTTCTGTATTTTATTTTAGTATTTTTATAACCTCGCTTTTTATGTTTAATTCTTTGTGTAACCTAGAACTTATTTTAAAATATGAAATAAGGATCCAAGTTCATTTTTGCCCCGGGCAGGTAGCCACTTGTTCAAACACCACGAGTCAATAATCTGTCTTTTCTCCTCGACCAAGTCTCCTTATTTTTCTTCTTTTGTCTAGGCTCTCTATTCTTTTCCACTATTCTGTCTAGGCAATTATAAGACAATACTCTTTTTTCTTTTATAATTTTCATTCTTTTCTTAATGATAGAGCATGTGTGTGTGCATGGAGAGAGAGAGAGCAAGAGCGAGAGAGAGAGAGAGAGAGAGAGAGAGAGAGAGAGAGAGAGAGAGCGAGAGAGAGAGAGAGAGCGAGAGAGAGAGAGAGAGAGAGAGCGAGAGAGAGAAGCGGCCGTCACAGGGTCTGGTCACGGGTCTTGGGCATTCGTGCCCATGCGGGCGTGTTTTTAAGCTGACAGGGTCAGGGATTTGGTTGCAGTCACCACGCGGGATCTGACTTCTCTCCATCAGTGTGCTAACTGCTGTGCTGTGGAGTCAGCCCAAGATCAGACTTTTCAATTCCCGTGCCTTTATAATATATTTTAATACCTCTAGACCCATCAGATCGATAAGCTTTTCATCTTTTCCAGAAAACAGAGTGGAAGAGGAAAATGAAGGCAGTGCGTGAAGAGCACGCGGCTGAGAGGAGAGAGGTAGTCCTCGGGTGGTCTGGGGGAGCGCGGTGTCCCATGGCCTCCCCATAGTCAGCATCTCCCCGTCTCCCCCCGGCTGGGCGCAGTAGGCAGATATTCCGTTGACGGTACATGTCCTGGCCGCTGACCCCCGTCAGTACACAGGCAGGGCAGGCTCAGTGGTCAGCCGCTTCTTCGGCCAGGATCGGGGCCTCCTATTTCTCCTCGGACCTAACACAGCTTTGTGCTGTGTTTCTCTTTGCAGTGACCCTTCAGGCCCTCCAAGAGGGTATGGTGCTGTGAAAAATCTCATTTTGTGAGAGACCCCTCCACCCAGGAGAGGGTCACATAGCTGTGGAGGTCTGCCATGGTTCGGGGGAGTCCACACAGAAGGACTGATCCTGAGACCAGTGAGTGGGAGCAGCAGGCCTTCGAGCAGAGAATACGACTGTTATAAAAACATCCGAGGAGGACCAGCAGATGGCGTAATGGTTGTGTCGCTGGACTCTCATGTAGTAGACTGTAGTTCGAGTCCCAGACCTGGTAATTTAAAACTCACACCAGGTGCGTGTGCATGCCAAAATCCCAAGAGGAGATGGCGTGGCCAGCCTCTCTGGGGGGTGACTTCTCACATTCTGTCTGTCTCCATGGCGAGTGCACATGCCCTTTAGCAAAAATCTCTCTCTAAAAAAATGCTCCTGAGGAAGAAGCCAGTGGAGGAGGAAGCTGGTAGCAATACCTCGGGGTCTTGCCTGCAGAAGGCTCAGAAGATGAAAAGGCTCAGCTCAAAATCCGGCCCGTGGGGGACACGCCCCACACCAGTACGGGGATGCATTCGAATTTCCCATATGATAGCTTCTGTTTATTCTAAACATTTTCAAATGGAAAATACATTGTAATTCATTCCCAAAGCAGAACTACATTGAGGTACAGTGAGTGTAGTCTTACTCCCGCCTGTCCCCGTCTGCCTGACCCCACACCTTCCCACGAGCAAGGACTTCTATTGTTTTCTTGTGTCTCTACTAGAATTTCTTTGTGCAAATAATAATGAATAGTCTCCTTTTATCTCTGCTCTTACGCAAGAGGTAGCTTTAACACATTTACTTCACTTCTTGCTTTTACTTACAGTCATCCATCCGGTAACTTTTGAATTGTCTCAATTACTATTATTATTATTTTAGAGACATTTTCGCTATAGGGTGCATGCATTCACTGGAGAGACAGACAGAGACAGAAAGTGAGAAATCACCCCCCAGGGGGGATGGCCATGTTGCAATCCTTTCTCCTCCTTTCTCCTCCATTCTCCTCTTGGGATCTTGGGCACACGTGCCTGGCATGTTTTTAAGCCGCCCAGTCTAGGACTCAAACTATGGTCGACTGTGTGGGAGTCAAGCGACGTAACCATTATGCCATCTGCTGTCCCTGAATTCTCTCAACTTACCTTATCTGTCCCGATCTTAGGGGCGTGCGTTCCATTCTTCAGGCACAGCTTAAAATGTCCCCAAACTGGGAGATAGTCTTATTAGAAAGCCACCTGGCCAGGTCTAGAAATCCTCTACTCTGCTTCCGGTGAAACCTCACCAGCGCTTGCCTGCAGGTGTAGGCCCTGCAGACACTGGGCTCCGGCATCCCTGCAGGCGTTTGACTGACCAGCCTCCCTGTGCCCACCAGCTGCAGGAGGAGAACGAGAGGCTCCAGGCCACCCTGTCTCAGGATCAGAGGAAGGCGGCTGCCCAGGCCCAGCGCCAGGTCAGCGTTCTCCGAGCCCAACTGCAGGAACAAGCCAGGCTTATCGCCTCCCAGGAGGAGACGGTAGGTCTGTCCCCCCTCAGCCAGGCTGGGGAGCCACTTTGCGTCTTCCCCACGAGGGTCTCCTTGATTTCTTCTGGGCTCATCCGTGACAGTGGCATTGGCTCGCGAGGCGAGAGGAGCCCTCTCACATGAGGGGCACTAAGTGGTAGGAGGCAGGTGCCCTCCCTCTGAGGGCCGCCGACAGAGGGGTCACCCCGATGGCAGAGACCATGTAAGATGCCTGCACCTCACTTATACTCTACCACCTCATTTAAGCCTCACGGCTGCCCTTAAAGGTCGGCATTACCTTCTCCCATCTTCCCTGACACACAGTGGAACTGGCTGGAGAAGCCGAGGGCCTTGCTTGTGTCCACAGAGGGCTCTCCGAAAGTGACAGGGCTGAGGTTCAACCCGTGCCAGGCAGGTGGAATGCACAGCTTGTGTTCCCAGATTTAACTTTTTCGCCTTTTTCATAAATAAGTAGCCTCTGAAGAGGCCGTGATAAGCCAGGGTGTAAAAAAGCATGCACTTTCTTAGCGCCTCTCTCCCCAACCAGCTCCTGGGATTGGCAATTGTCTGCTCAGCCCCGGCTCAGTTCCCCTTGCCACCCGCAGGCCTGGAAATGCTGTATCTCCCTGCCCCGGCTGCTCCCGTGGTCTCAAGTCCTGGCCGTGATGCTCACGCCACCTCTCTGCTGGACCATCCTGTCACAGCCTCCCTGAGCTCAGGCCCTGTCTCATCTGGACACACACCCCCCGTTCCTGCATCCTTAGCCTTTGTGCTTTCTGCGGTCCCTGCCACACTTCATCCTGTCAACATGTCCACCCCGCTCCCCTACCGATCTCTTCACCGTTTCCTGGCTTCCCTCCCCCAGCACGGAGCTCTTCACTGCTCAGCCACTCGGGTCCAGTCGTAAAGTTTCTTCCTCATGTTACCCAGAATTCAACATTTGCATATGTTTCAGTGAGGAGCTTGTTGGCTAAAGAAAACAGCCAAGAGAGGTGACAGCTGCCGCCTTTGGTTGGTAGTAAAATTACGCCCTGGGCATACAGACTCAGTTTTTGTTTGTTTTTAACCATCTTTAGTGTGATGACTTTTGTTTCCTTCCTGACTCTCATAGTTGCAAGAAGGCTGCCATAGCTCCAGCCATCACAGCCATAGTTGATGACAGATACTGATGCAAAGTCCCCTTCCCAGGACTTCTGCTTATGTATTGGGTCAAAGCTGTGTCACATGAGCAATTACAGCTGCAAGGGAGGCTGGGAAAGCGAATGATTAATTCACAGTCTGACAGTAGAGGTAGGCAAAGGAGGAGACAGTGGAAATGGGCATTGGATGAATATTGGTGTGTGATACAATGGGTAACCAAAAACAGCGCATGCTCAAGCAGAAGAGGGAGTTTGCCGTGAGGGTGGACAGAGCACCTCCCAGAGCTCAAGGTGGGGAAGAGCTGAGTTTGGGAACAGACAGGAACCAGAGATGGGGACTTGTTCGGGAGGTGCCCTCTCTGCGTCTCTGTCTCTTTCTCTATCTGCCTCGGGTTTTCTTTCTC